TAACTGTAATTTTTGTTAGATTTTTAATTTAATTCTAAATTTGGATAGAAACATAATTTGTTAATGGAGTTTTTAATTTTTTAATTTGAAATAATTTTTTAAAAATAACCATTCCAAAATCATTATTTTTTTGTTTTAGTTAACAGTCACTGACAATCCCCTTAGAAACTATTTTAACGCACGTGAATTCTTTCACGAAAGAATGATGGAGAGGCGAGGTCATCCTGTTCAAAAAGATGAGTGAGTAAAGTTTATTTTATTAACAACTAAGCATTAAAATGACTAACAACAACAAGACTTCAATTAACACTTTAAAAATTTAAATTTAAAATATAATCACCCTCACATTAACAATACTCTCACCCTAGAGTATTGTCTGATGTATTGTACGAGGCACAGGGTTTGTTAATTTTATCTTAAAACTACTAAAGCATTAATCAGTTGGAGTGGTTAAATCATCAACCAAATGGAGCCGTTGCATCAGTCAATCAGAATATTTTATTTTGTTTTCCCTCTTAATGTATCACAATAGAATATTTTTCAGTTTTAAACAGATTTTTGCGATAACCTAAAAAATATTAAACATTTACAGCGAAAAACTTTCAAATATTTTTAAATGAAGTTTTTTAAAAAAGTCTTGCAGTCACTATTTTCAAAATCTGATTTTATTTTTTGTAATTATTTTTAGTTGTTATTTTTATTTCTTTACTTTTTTTTTTGATTTGTTTAGTTTAAAAAAAAAGCATCCTCCCACAAGGAAGTCACTGCTTTTTTTAATAAATTCTTTAATTGTGAAAGTCTTGTTAAAAGAGATAACTTAAACTAACTTTTGTGATAAGTTTATAAACAGTTTTCTTATGCTATATAATATTTTTATTAGATGGCATATGATGCCAACTGAAGTGAATGTGTTCTTCAATTCACCTAACAATGTTATTGGTAAATTTTGTACTTTTTTTATTGATTTTGTTCACTTATTATTTCAAATAAATAAAAGAAGATTATTCAAATAAATGCAGAGAAATTCTAATTTTTTTATTTCATTTATAACAATGTTTGTGTTTGTTATTAGCTGTTCCTGCTGGTATAATCCAATCACCATTTTTTGACTTAGGATTTCCTATGTATGTTATTATCCTACGTATGTTACATTTCTATTTTTATGTATTCTTTTTTTAGTTCTTTAGATTTTTGTTAGTTATTAAAGCATGTTGTTAGATTAATTTTTTTAGCAGTTGATAATATTTTGAGTGTTTAATTAATTGAAATATTGGATGATTTTTCGAGTATGTTCTTTCATTGGTTGATATAGTTCATAATAATTTAAGTGTTTCATTAGTTGAAATAGTTAATAATTTTTTGAATATGTTCTTTGATTGGTTGATATAGTTTATAATTTTTTGAGTTTGCTGTTTCAGTAGTTAATAGTTTTTAGAACAATCTATTTTATCAGTTAATAATTTTTGAGGACTATATTTTTTGAGCTTTCATTTCATTGATAATTTTAACTTTTTTTTAACTTAAGTGCAATAAACTATGGTGCGTTAACTTTTTTTTAACTTTAGTGCAATAAACTATGGTGCGTTAACTTTTTTTTAACTTTAGTGCAATAAACTATGGTGCGTTAACTTTTTTTTAACTTTAGTGCAATAAACTATGGTGCGTTAACTTTTTTTTTAACTTTAGTGCAATAAACTATGGTGCGTTAACTTTTTTTTAACTTTAGTGCAATAAACTATGGTGCGTTAACTTTTTTTTAACTTTAGTGCAATAAACTATGGTGCGTTAACTTTTTTTTAACTTTAGTGCAATAAACTATGGTGCGTTAACTTTTTTTTAACTTTAGTGCAATAAACTATGGTGCGTTAACTTTTTTTTAACTTTAGTGCAATAAACTATGGTGCATTAACTTTTTTTTAACTTTAGTGCAATAAACTATGGTGCGTTAACTTTTTTTTAACTTTAGTGCAATAAACTATGGTGCGTTAATTTTTTTTAACTTTAGTGCAATAAATTATGGTGCGTTAACTTTTTTTTAGCTTTAGTGCAATAAACTATGGTGCGTTAACTTTTTTTTAACTTTAGTGCAATAAACTATGGTGCGTTAACTTTTTTTTAACTTTAGTGCAATAAACTATGGTGCGTTAACTTTTTTTTAACTTTAGTGCAATAAACTATGGTGCGTTAACTTTTTTTTAACTTTAGTGCAATAAACTATGGTGCGTTAACTTTTTTTTTAACTTTAGTGCAATAAACTATGGTGCGTTAACTTTTTTTTAACTTTAGTGCAATAAACTATGGTGCGTTAACTTTTTTTTAACTTTAGTGCAATAAACTATGGTGCGTTAACTTTTTTTTAACTTTAGTGCAATAAACTATGGTGCGTTAACTTTTTTTTTAACTTTAGTGCAATAAACTATGGTGCGTTAACTTTTTTTTAACTTTAGTGCAATAAACTATGGTGCGTTAACTTTTTTTTAACTTTAGTGCAATAAACTATGGTGCGTTAACTTTTTTTTAACTTTAGTGCAATAAACTATGGTGCATTAACTTTTTTTTAACTTTAGTGCAATAAACTATGGTGCGTTAACTTTTTTTTAACTTTAGTGCAATAAACTATGGTGCGTTAATTTTTTTTAACTTTAGTGCAATAAATTATGGTGCGTTAACTTTTTTTTAGCTTTAGTGCAATAAACTATGGTGCGTTAACTTTTTTTTAACTTTAGTGCAATAAACTATGGTGCGTTAACTTTTTTTTAACTTTAGTGCAATAAACTATGGTGCGTTAACTTTTTTTTAACTTTAGTGCAATAAACTATGGTGCATTAACTTTTTTTTAACTTTAGTGCAATAAACTATGGTGCGTTAACTTTTTTTTAACTTTAGTGCAATAAACTATGGTGCGTTAATTTTTTTTAACTTTAGTGCAATAAATTATGGTGCGTTAACTTTTTTTTAGCTTTAGTGCAATAAACTATGGTGCGTTAACTTTTTTTTAACTTTAGTGCAATAAACTATGGTGCGTTAACTTTTTTTTAACTTTAGTGCAATAAACTATGGTGCGTTAACTTTTTTTTAACTTTAGTGCAATAAACTATGGTGCGTTAACTTTTTTTTAACTTTAGTGCAATAAACTATGGTGCGTTAACTTTTTTTTAACTTTAGTGCAATAAACTATGGTGCGTTAACTTTTTTTTTAACTTTAGTGCAATAAACTATGGTGCGTTAACTTTTTTTTAACTTTAGTGCAATAAACTATGGTGCGTTAACTTTTTTTTAACTTTAGTGCAATAAACTATGGTGCGTTAACTTTTTTTTAACTTTAGTGCAATAAACTATGGTGCGTTAACTTTTTTTTTAACTTTAGTGCAATAAACTATGGTGCGTTAACTTTTTTTTAACTTTAGTGCAATAAACTATGGTGCGTTAACTTTTTTTTAACTTTAGTGCAATAAACTATGGTGCGTTAACTTTTTTTTAACTTTAGTGCAATAAACTATGGTGCATTAACTTTTTTTTAACTTTAGTGCAATAAACTATGGTGCGTTAACTTTTTTTTAACTTTAGTGCAATAAACTATGGTGCGTTAATTTTTTTTAACTTTAGTGCAATAAATTATGGTGCGTTAACTTTTTTTTAGCTTTAGTGCAATAAACTATGGTGCGTTAACTTTTTTTTAACTTTAGTGCAATAAACTATGGTGCGTTAACTTTTTTTTAACTTTAGTGCAATAAACTATGGTGCGTTAACTTTTTTTTAACTTTAGTGCAATAAACTATGGTGCGTTAACTTTTTTTTAACTTTAGTGCAATAAACTATGGTGCGTTAACTTTTTTTTAACTTTAGTGCAATAAACTATGGTGCGTTAACTTTTTTTTAACTTTAGTGCAATAAACTATGGTGCATTAACTTTTTTTTAACTTTAGTGCAATAAACTATGGTGCGTTAACTTTTTTTTAACTTTAGTGCAATAAACTATGGTGCGTTAATTTTTTTTAACTTTAGTGCAATAAATTATGGTGCGTTAACTTTTTTTTAGCTTTAGTGCAATAAACTATGGTGCGTTAACTTTTTTTTAACTTTAGTGCAATAAACTATGGTGCGTTAACTTTTTTTTAACTTTAGTGCAATAAACTATGGTGCGTTAACTTTTTTTTAACTTTAGTGCAATAAACTATGGTGCGTTAACTTTTTTTTAACTTTAGTGCAATAAACTATGGTGCGTTAACTTTTTTTTAACTTTAGTGCAATAAACTATGGTGCGTTAGGATCAATGATAGGAAACGCTCTTACTCATGGCTTTGATCTTCAAGGTTACAAAAAATTTTTCTGGAAATTTTTGTTTACAAAATTAATTCTCACTTTGTGGCAAATCATATAATTACTTAAATATTTATTTGTTTTTATGTAGGTCAACATTTTGACAAATTTGGAAATTTGGTGAACTGGTGGAGTAAGCCAACAGCTTCTATGTTTGCAAATTATTCTAAATGCTTTGAGAATCAACATGACTCCCAAGATACACAGGTAAAAAATTTGTTCTAGAAGACTATTGTTATCTTTATCAAGATATATTTGTTTAAGCATTTGGTTTTTAAATTTAGTCAGTTGATTATTCTGAAATCATTGCGGATAATGGTGGAGTTAAGATGGCTTTTAATGTATGTTATCTATTTTTAACAATATTATATGTAATTTGCTAATAAAGAATTTTTAATTATGTTAATTTTGTCTGTTAATTTAATTATAAGAATAGGTTAATAGTAAAACCATTCTGTTGTCTTATTTGTTAAGCTTAATGAAGCTTTTGTTTGAAATTTCAAAAAAGAAATTTTAAACCAATGCTCTGTTAAGCTTAATAATAAAAATTTAACTGTCCTTTAATTTTTGTTAATCCTTGGCACTTATAAATAAAAGTTTTTAAAAGTAAATCCATAACACTTTTAAATGATAGTTTAAATAAATACAATTAAATAAGTACTATTATAATTTTTATAAATATGATATTATAAGATTACAGGCTTTTAAAATAAGAAATAGAGTTAATGTTTGCTAATTGTGTCATGTCATATATAGGGTCACACTTATAACTGTTAAATATAGTCTATATATATACACTTATATAGGGTCAAACTTTAAAAGAATTAATTGAAGTGATAATTTAAGTACAAAAATAGTTTTTTTCCCTTTAACAAAAAGTAGCTCAAGCTTCACATGAAACATAATTGATGAGACATAAATAATAATAGATGAAACGTAAAACATAATTGGTGAAGCATAAAACATAATTGATGAAACATAATAAAACATGATTGATAAAGCAAAAAAATAATTCATGAAACATAATATAACATAATTGATGAAACATAAAACATCATTGATGCTTTAAATGAAGTAAAAACATACAGATTGACACTGAGAAAAGCAGCATTTAAATAGTGTCTTAAAAACAACATTGACAAGTTGTACAAACAATGATGGTTTTTTCTAAAACATCAAAAGCGTTTACAAATGTTTATAGTTGCTACTCTTCAACTTTTAAGTTTAAAAATTTTTTACTCTTCAACTTTTAAGTTTAAAAATTTTTATGATTTAACAAAAGTTTTTTATTATCAAAATGACAAAATGGTCAATTTTGTTATTAGTTCTTATGAACACTCAAAACAAACTTTTGAAATTCAAACAAGATTTTGTGAAAAATTTGTTTAATGGAATAATGTATTGATATTTAAAAAATATTTTGGTCGGAAAAGCTAGCGTTAATAACTTAGCGTTTACAAAGCCTGGATAAAGTATTGTTATAGTTAATTTTTTATTGACTATGTTAACAAACATTATGAAATTTTTGGCATAATTAATAAAGTTTAAAATAGTTTGCTAATTAATATGGTTTTTCTCAAATAAGATTAAATACCTGAAGTAAAAGTTATATTGATATTAAATATTAGAATTAAAAGATATAATAAGTTTAAATACTTGAAAATTATAAGATTAAGGTACAATGATATAAAATCATCACAATCGTTAAGCATTTTATTGGTAAAAAAATAAAGTTAATAGATAATGGAACTAAAGATTTGATATGCTTAGAAAAGAATTGGTTTGATATAAATCCAAAATTGGCTGATAAAGGTATTAAAATATCTTGTATAAGAAAGAAATAATTTATCTATGGAAATTTAGCCTAGATATGACAACAGTATTCTGCACAGGCTATTTACCAATGATTAGATCCTCAATGATTATGATTAAAAAATAAATTGTATGGTAATTAAATGGCTTAAAACATTTTTCAGAATTTAAAAGATGTTCTGACGGAGATGTCATGAAGAGGCTGTTCGTTAGTATAGAAAAATTATTTTCAAGAAATATTCTTTGCAAACAAATTAGAGAGTAAATAAGATGTTTGTTATCACTTGTTATCTTCCCAAATCTTTTATTTTCTTTTTCACGAATATCATAATTTTTATACATTTTTCAGAATTTAAAAGATGTTCTGACGGGGATGTCATGAAGAGGCTGTTCGTTAGTATAGAAAAATTATTTTCAAGAAATATTCTTTGCAAACAAATTAGAGAGTAAATAAGATGTTTGTTATCACTTGTTATCTTCCCAAATCTTTTATTTTCTTTTTCACGAATATCATAATTTTTATACATTTTTCAGAATTTAAAAGATGTTCTGACGGGGATGTCATGAAGAGGTTGTTCATTAGTATAGAAAAATTATTTTCAAGAAATATTCTTTGCAAACAAATTAGAGAGTAAATAAGATGTTTGTTATCACTTGTTATCTTCCCAAATTTTTTATTTTCTTTTTCACGAATATCATAATTTTTATACGTTGTATTATAAATATGTTTTATAACAAAAAAAGTATTGCAGCTCCTAGTTCAGAAACCTTTTTTATGCTAAAAGTTTGGACAATTAGTTCTAACATGAATTTAAACTTACTTTCACATTTGCTGTCTTCACTGAGACAATAACTTGAGTTTGAATTTGAAGGATTCTTTCACTTTACAGATCTAATTACAAAATTATTGCAGTGATTATATTTATTTTTTTTAATTTTATATTTTTATAACAAAATATTACAAAAAAATTTATATAACCTTTTCATATGATATGTTAAATGCTAAGTAAAAACAAGAAACAAAAAATTTAATTTAAAATAAAAATAAAGTTAGTTGAAAAAATTTCAGTGGGGTCTAACTTAAAATGACTTTGGTCTTAGCTTTGAAAGGTTTGTAAAAATGTTACTCGTAATATTCCAATTGTTTTTATTGATACAACTTTTAATTCAGGCATTCAAAACAAATTCTTACATACGAGGCGAAGACAAGTTGCTTCCTGGATTACAAATGACTCCAAATCAGATGTTTTTCATGGGATATGCACAGGTACTTAATTAGATTATTAACATAGAGACGTCTTCTATTATGGGAGAGGTATTTTGCCCCGTGATGGAGATAAGATGCTGGTATTGCCGGCAACTTCAACAACCTATCTCCATCGCAACAACTTATTTTAAATTTTTTAATGTCAAGGCTTGCTATGTGATAAAGTTAATTATTTTGATATTATGTAGACAATGTGCTCAGTTCAAAAAGAACATGCAAAAAAAAATTTTGAAAAAGAAAGGTATTGTCATATTTAAAATTAGCATTCAATTGATATTAATTCATATAATATATTATTATTATTATTAATATTTTTCCAGTATTTTATTATTATTAATAATATTTTTCCAGTATTTGGCATTTTTTTAATGCTTTCCAGCTTGTATATGTTTATTATGCTTGTATATTTGCAAATACTTTTCCAGCGATTTTATTGGTATAAATTAATTGTTCATTAACAGTTTATTGTGCTTTGTTGTTTAGTTTTTATATTAATGAGTACAATATATAAGTTGATAAAAGATATATATTTAAATTAGACTTTCATTTTATTGGAACTTGTGAAATTTTTTATGTTACACACGATTTTTTATTTCACAAAAACAGAAACCAAGTTGCAAGTTTAATTTTAAACACACAAAGTATAAAATTATTAAAATCGAGTATTAATCAGTTTAAAAAGTTTCTATTCTAATTAGCACGTTATGTTTAAAGGTAAAGCAAGTTTTTTATTAAGCAAATTTTTCATTTTACTTAGTACTTGCTAACTAATTTTTAACAAGATTCAAAAAGTTTTGCACCAACAGTTCAAAACATAGCCAAGCAGAATAACTTGTTGAATATAGCAGTTTATTTCCAAACATATCCAAATTTTCCAAGTTATTATCAAAATGCAAGTTTATAACTGTTTATTTTAAATTTATAATGTCAACTGCTGTTATCTAGAGAATTTGCAGTTTTAATTTTATTTGTTAATTGTAGTTGAGTAAGATAAATAATTGTATTATCTCTTTCCTGTGGAAATTTTTTTATTTTAATTTTTTGCAAAATTTTTATTCTTAATTTATTTTATTCTGTTTATTTCTGAACCCTAAAAAACATGAAAAAGTAAAGACTTTTTTTTTATAGTACTAATAATACTAATATGATATAAAAAAAATAAAATAAAACCACTAAACTTTACTTCTTGCTAATCATTTATATATACACTTGTTATTTAAGATATATAAAGAAAGAAAACCTAAAAAAAAAAATAATAAACTTTCAATGCAATGTCCTCTTTCAGGTCATTTTTAGTTTTTGCATTGTTGCAACATCTGTATGTCGTTAAAAAAAAATAAAATTAATGCCCACATACAGTTTATGAAATTCATTTAGACTGCTCAACAGTCAAAGCCGCTCAAAATACACGCTCACAATATATTCATAAAAAGTCAGAGTTTGGTGTTAAAGACAACAGAAAAGTAATGGTCTCAATCCTTTTTGTAACAGCAACTTAAAAGCTAATTAAAAGCAATTTTAAATTAACCATGTACTATATAGCAAGCGAACTTGGATTTAATGATGTACTATAGAATATCATTTGCATGAAATTGGAATGACCTTCATGTTTAGTGTTTGCAACCACGAGAGCTGAATGCTATTCAGCTAGGCCAGCATGCAGAGACGCACATGAACCATTTTTTTTGTACCATAAGTTTAATTGGCTTGACCATGTCATCATAGTGTTGGAGAAATAGATTCTCTATGTAAATCATGGCCGAAAGTGCCATTGGCTAGGGTTAGAACAACTTCCAAAACCAACTTTGAAAGTCAACTTACACCCCTAAAAAGTGTTGCTTTTGGTTTTGTGGGAAGTGTTGGCATTGAGTATTGTGATCTGTTTCTGTCGAACACCACAATTATGACAGAAACATTCTGTGCTCAATTTGACAAGGTTAAAGCAAAACTCTCAAAAAAATACCTGGGGCATAACAAAGTTTACAATTTAAATAACAAGACTTATCTTTACTTATTGGAGCTTGATCGGAAAGCATTGCCTCATTTGCACTACTCACTTGACTTAGTGTGAAAAGATTGTTATTTGTTTTAATTGTTAAGCAACTACTTGCGCAACGAATAGTTTGATAGAATGGAGGCACTTCAACAGCACTTTAATTATTTCTTTGATTCAAAACCTTAAGAGTTCTACGCCAACAGCATTTTTTATTTGTTTGAATATTGGCTAGAGGTCATAAACAATGATGGTTGATGACTGTTCATAGACAGTGATGATGCATTGTTCAAGATTAGTTATAAAATTAAAATAAGTAATAACCAAGTTTAAGAAGAACAAAAAACCTTATTACTTTTTGAATTTAAGTAATATATATATATATATATATATATATATATATATATATATATATATATATATATATATATATATATATATATATATATATATATATATATATATATATATATCCCTTCAGAGTTAAAGTTAACGGGATTCTACTGTATATACATATATACAACACTGTATATACATATATAAAACATAGATAATTTGTATCCAATGACGCAATTTTCTAATTTTTTTATAATTTAACTCTAAAAATGTTTGCTTTAATTTTTCAGAAAATGAAGAAAAACAAAGATTAATGAAAAATTGGGCATTTAGTTGACCTAACTTTGTGTCTCATCTGTTGTTTTGTTATTTTGTGCACTCACAGATTAATAGTTGTTTTTGCATCTTACTACTTGGTCACCAATTTTTCTTTCCAAAAATATATTGCATATGTTTTATTATATTTAATTCCTGACTTTGAGATAGCTATTTCAAAACATTGAGGTTATTTGTATTAAAGCTTATTTTTATCTAAAAGATACAAATAATTATAAATTATATTAGCAGTCAAAATAATAGCATTATTGTTTTTTTATTGGCCAAAATAATTATGGAAATTATAGTAACCAGCTCTATGAGTATATAAGTTCTCTAGAATCGACGGGTCCCCATACCCGCAAATATGCTGAATTTCCATATGTAACTTTTCATTTTGTTTTTTAATTTTAGAGTAGATATGGTTTTAAGAAACAACGAAGACTTTTCAACTGCATTTAATTGTCCAGTTGGCAGCAAAATGAATCCTGTGAAAAAATGTCACGTTTGGTAACATAACTCAGTTTAATTTAGGATATTTATTTAATTCTATTATCAGTGTAAATACATAGAAATTTATTTTTATGGAATGCAAATATTTCTTTTTGATAAAGTCAAAATGTACTTCTTTGCTAATCTAATTTTTGTGGTAATTATAACGATATATTCGTGTTTTTATGTTTATTTGAAGTTGAAATAATTAAATTGCGATATTAAATTGCTGTCTTCTTTTGTTAAATATTTTTTACTCGTCAAACTGATGCTTAGTTTTCAAATAAATAAAATTAAATTTAAATTAAGGTGACATTTTTTATGATTTTAATATCAATAATATATGACAATCAATTTTGTTTTATCATTTCCAAACCGTTTTTTTTTGGCTAAATTACAATTTTTTGGAAATAGTAATAATGCAGAATTTAAAAAAAGTTAAATTGAGAAAATTTATATTAAGCAATTCGTAGTCTTTGTTTAAATTTTTTTTTTTTTGCTAATGACGAGCTCTAATGTGCTTTCAAAAATTCTTTGAAAATAAAACAGTTGTACATAAAATATTTAAATAACAAAATCTTCTGTAAATGAAAAGATATGTTATAATTATAAATATTTATTCGAAGAAATCCCTAGAAATTAAAAATATTTCGGTTTTTTTAACATTTTTAAAAGTATTGGAAAGAGTAATGCATAATAGAACATTTAAATATCTAAAATAATCTACTGTAGGGGATCCTAAAAATCTATGAGGACAACTTACTGAATATATGTTTTTATTTCGATCTCTAAAATAACAGTACTTAATAGCAAACTTTATACCTTTATTATAATTCAATAATCATTTTTTTTACCAGAATATTTTAAGTAGATTTAAAATTATAAAAACTAAAAATGCTCAATTGGGATCATGGGTGCATACCAGTATGCTCCCTTGATCCTACTTATATGCAGCCTTGATCCTATGTATGTATACTTGATTCGAGATCAAATTTATACCATGAATGTATAAGAATAATTTTTAAGCCGTCAAAACAATGTCTATAATAAAAACCAATAAAGTTATTATTAATTTTACTACAAATTTATCTTTCTTAAAAAAGTAAAAATTAATGTAAAAAATGTTATTTTTTACTGAGAACGTTTTTATTTTCATTACTTTCAAAAAGTTTTCTTTTCCTTGTCATAAAGATTTTATTTTGCGTTTCATGTTTTTTCTTGATAAGCTGGTGAAAATTTCACATTTTGAATAAGATGTTTCATCCACTCTAAAAAAGTTGCAATATTCATCCAACCAGATGGGTTTGCAGCCCCAACACATCCAGGTGAACCACGATTTATTATACTTCCTTTGAAATTAACTCTTGGAAAAATAAAAAATGGAGGGATTGAGTTTCCTATTGCATTAACTGCACAACAAACTGTTACCAATGTCCTTTCTGTCGAAGTTATTCTTCCAACTTGTTTATCTCCTTTTTTAGCAATTACTTTACCTGGTTTTTGAACAGTTGTGAGACCTGTCTTATCAACATTGTATATGTTTTGTGGCTGAAACTTGTGTCGTAGACGAACATCTTTTAGATTGGTGAAAAATTCTCCGACTGTATAACAATTAAAAGCAGTTGCTCGTGCCATACTGGTAGTTTCTGGATTTCGTAAAGATAACTCATTTCTACGTAACATAAAACCACGAAGCCACTGATTCCCAGCAATTTGTAAACTTTTCCACGATTTAGGAATGCGCTTAGAAAGAGTCGTTGCAAATTCATAGGCAAGTTTTCGTGTTGTTTTGGTTGACAATCCATAGTGAAGTTTTGAGGGCCTTAAAAGATAATCTGATAAAGATGTTTCTTTTTCGTTGGTAAAGATTTGCATGGTAATGAAGTTAGGTTTGCAGATTGTATTTGGATTTAATTGACATTTCCTTACATATCTCTTAAGTATCATTAAATTGATTCTCCTCTCTTTAGATACACGATAAACTGTACCACCATAAGAACTGCATTAACAGCTGTTTGCATTTCATATATATATATATATATATATATATATATATATATATATATATATATATATATATATATATATATATATATATATATATATATATATATTGAATACTTTACAATTATATTATATAAAAGTTTTAGAAGAACAAAAAAAAAATTCAAAGTAGTATAAAATCTTCAATTTAAGGCTTTATTTTAGAAGGAAAAAAAAAAAAAAAATTATATTTAAAAACAATATGACGTATTATACATGTCACTTTAAAAAATAAACATTTTGTGTGTGTGTGTGTATGCACCTTTGATCATATGATCAAAGGTGCATAAACGCATTAGAATTAAGGGTGCTAACCCGCTCCATTTTTACAAAAATTCTTTTTTTCTCATATTAGATGCTTCTATAGCTTACCAAAAGCAACCATACAAGAGGTGAATAGTTAAGTTACAAAACGACATAAGCAAAATTATTTAACTTAAAAAAATATTAAAGATGTGAGGTTCCTTGTAAAAGTAAAAAAATTACTTTTTGTCGTCAAAATCAAACTATTAGAAATAAATTTAATAGTGGTCTATTTTTTAACCAAAACACAATTAATTTTGAAGATACAATATTTGTAACACACTGATTATCAGCCCTCTTTAATAAGTTATGTAAGTATGGAGATAACGCTATAGGGTCAAAGGTGCTTTCGGATCAGGGGTACAAGTTCTCCCCTATAGCAGATAAGTCCGTTTAAAAATATATTTCAATAGACTATTCATTTGTTTTTTTAGGAAATCTCAAAACCTTTTGAAAAAATTCACAATAAGTGTCTCCATCAAACTTCGAAAACTTGTCTCAATTTTTTTTCAAAAGCTCTTAAATACTGTGGCATAAATAACAGTATCCCAAAATCGTCTTAAGCGGATGATACTTTCCAAAAAAAAAATTAATTGCGTGTCGTAAAGCTAAGATTTTTTTTTTGTTGAAATAAAAACAAATTATAAATGCATCATTAAAAAAAAAAAATAATAATCAGAATTTATTTTGTGAATTTATTTAATAGTGATTATTGGGAAAACTCAATTTAAAATTTTGTAAACTTCAATCGATTATGGTGATACTTATATAACTAAATTATTTATACATAGTTGTATTAACTATAAAAAAGCTACTTGAAAATAGCTAAACCCGGAAAATACTGACTTTTGAAGATTTCAAAAACCGCATTCAAATTTTTCCAGGCTAAGTTATTATTTAAAGATATTAAAGCTCTTTCTTTTTATGAAGTGAATTTACATACAATATTATGTTTTTTGTTTGAATGTAATCCATAATTAATTATTTTTAGGGATATCTACAAATGATAATTTTCTATATCTCTTTTGTCAAATAAAGTTCATATAGTTCTGTTTTGCTATAGGCTTATTCTCTGCATCCAAATAACGTAAAACAATTGTTTTACGGTAAAATGATTTTGACTTTAAATTTGTTTCAGAAATTAGGTGCATGAAACAACTCGTAAAAATAATATTAAACTTTTACCTAACTTTTATTTACCAATATTAATGGCTAAAGTTATCAATAAATTTATTAATTGGTTAAGTTATATTTTATTTATTATTCCGTTTATGAATGTTGACAAGATCGTTAGATCTAAAATCAGATATCAAGTTTTTATGAAATCAATCCGCTTTTTTCTCTTGCTATTAGACATATATTAACAGCTTTTACCTATTACCGCTAATAAAACTAAAAAAAATGCATTTTATTACTTAAAGCTTAGTTAATCCGCGGTGCTCTCTGATAAGTCCGTAAGGACTTCTTTGGGGACCTAAATTAAGTTGAAAAAAAGTATCATAAAATATAAAGAAAATATTAAACTACTTTTTTTTATTTATTTGCGATAACAATTTTTTTTTAAACTCATTTTGCATCTTAGGATCATATATTAAAAAAATAAAGTTGCATGTAGAAGCGTTATCGAATATAATTATATAAAATGTCAATAAAAAAACTGCGATATAGCAAAATTGATGCAACAAAAGTAAAGATCTAAACATTTTTTTGCGTTGATTTTACAAGATTATTGCAAATATCGGTTAGAACTTCTCTTCGTTTAGTATCTAGTACTTGCTTTAGACAAATTTTTATAAATCTTATTTAGGCCTTGAGTAATTCTTTATCCATTTAAGCTTATACAAATTTCATCGGATACAAATCTGGTTGAGCTACCTAATTTTAAACCTAAAGATAAAAATGGAAATAACAATGAAGATCATTGAAAAAATGATTTCAACTAAACTTGAAGAATACAAAATAAGCACATTTGAAGAAACAGAACGATTGTTAAAGGAGCAGGAAAAAACATTTACTTCAATAATGAGTGCAAATCTTAAAACTATTACCGATAGATTAGACCTGATAGAGAAAGATAATAACAATACAGTTGGAAAATCAATCAAGACGAAATAACTTAAGAATAGATGGATTGCACCAGGAGAAAATGGGGATGAAATATATATACATAAAAAAAATACTTTATTTGCAATAACTATATAACTAGCAAACTTTGTAAATATAAATTGTACCTTATAATGGTAATGGAAACCCCAAGTATTAAGATTGCCTTTAATAAACAAAAAACTATGCATTCTTGCTTTCATATCTGTTATATTATATTTGGAAAGAGTTCCACTCCCCGCTGAACATCCGGATTCTTTAAAGGAGTCAACCGGCTAGGAATAAAAAAACTTTATTAAAATAAATAATAAAAATTTATAAAAAATCATAATATACTTTTTATACTTTGAATTTATTTTACTTTTTTGTATGAATGTTATAAAAAAAAATTGTCTGCACTTATGATAATTATTTGAATTTATGAAAATAGTTTACACTGTTTACGCTAATTCTAATAATTATCAGTGAAAATATTTGTAAAAAAAATTATCAAAATACAAGTCAGATGTGATCAAATGATAATTTGGATGAGGTTGTCGCTAAAATGCGTACTGCAAAATGCAAACAAGTAAAAAGCGAACTTTTTTTGCGAACCAAGACATTATATTTTAATGACCTACAGTTAAGACATTTAAAAAAAACGATTGCTCATCAATTTTTTAATTTAAATTAAATATACTAAAATTTAACTATTTTGTTTAAACTAGATTGTATTTCTTTACATTTAAATATAATTTTTGCATCTACTTGCAGTCTATAAAATGTAGAGCAAAATGAACAATTTAACAGCAAACGGAAAATACAAAATTTACATTATTAACAACCAATAGGCAGGGTCGGACTGACATTTAGGGGGCGGGGGGAAGACATAAATACAGGGACGCCTTATATATAAAAATTTCCCTATATTATATATCAAGAACCTTTTTTTTTTCTTTTAGGTACTTTTTTTTAAGCTTAACCCTTAATTGCATGGTATAGCAAAAATAAAATTATTTGTGTATTTTGATTTTAGGAGGGGCCCAGGATCTTTAGACATGGCATGGGATGGAGGAGGGGGGGGGGCAAATCCCCAACTCCCTTTGCCAGTCCAAACCCTACCAAGAACCGTGGTTTGCAAAAAAGTTCACATTTACCAGTTTGCAGTTTGCATTTTATCGAACACCTTTGGGTGATGATGGCAAGAAAAGAATGGCAAGAAAAAGTCCGAAAACAAAAAAGGAAAAGCCAACTTAAAACGGATTGCGGAATAAAAAGTTAACGCGTTTTATTTTAAAAAAAAACAATTTGATAACTCACAAATTTTTCCTGAAATACATTTTAAATATAAACTAATTATTTACAATTATTAAATACATAAGTTAAAAATAAATATTATAAATAAAAATAATTAGTTTATATTTATAAAAAGTATTTCTGAATATATTTAGAAATACTTTTTATAAATATAAACTAATTATTTACAATTATTAAATACATAAGTATTATGTATTTAATAATTGTATTTATATATATTTACATATATATATATATATATATATGTAAATATATATAAATATAAATATATATATATATATATTTATATATATATATATATATATATATATATATATATATATATACTTATATATATATATATATATATATATATATATATATATATATATATATATATATATATATATATAAATATATACATAAATTTATATATATATATATACATATATATATATATATATATATATATATATATATATATATATATATATATATATATATATATATATATATATATATATATATATATATATATATATATATATATATATATATATATATATATATATATATATATATATATATATATATATATATATATTTGAATGTTATTTCCCAAGTTGAAAAGGCCTTGTCAAATCTACCGTTATATCTTATGGATGTAAAAAGTGAAAAAAATTGAAAATCATTACAGAAATTGTCATTAATCATAAATTAGTTAACACTGCATCATTAGAGCGAGTCTAAAAACTGTTAAGAAAAATAAGTTTCTAAAAAAACTGCTGAATTCTAAACTGCTTAACAAGACCATTTAAAAATTTCCGGAGGTTTAGACCTCTGTAACTTAGATGCCTACTGCCTTGAAAGTCTATTTTTTCTGTTTCTAAATATTTTGTTAAGTCTTCTCACAGGTCATCCGCATAAAAATCAGACTAAGAAAATATCAAAACAAGTCTTGGATGCAGTTATTTGGATCAAATCATATTTAATAAGGCTAAATATTTTTTACGAGGACTTTAAAATAATTGAGTCAATTATCGCCAAGGTTGGAAAAAAAATCTATATTCATATGCAAGCAAAAAAATATATATATTTTACAGGTTGATAGTGTCGGATTTAGTATAAGTGTTTGGGAGTGAACTACTTTCCCCACGCCGCTTTGAAGGTTGCACTGGCACACCATTAAACATTCACAAACTCGTTCTTCTCCTCCTCCCTTCCTCTTTTACAAATTAAATTTTAATATTTAAGGATGAATTTTTGAATAAAAAGCATTTTTTTTAAATATAAATTATAAACAAGGCTATAAAACAAAAAATCATGATTTTTTTTTTTTTTTATTGGTCTAGTTTATTTCTGGTTTAATTTTGTTTCGTTTTGGCTTGGGCCCGAAAAAAAACCTGGCAACCCTGTATAAGGGTCTTCCTTAAATTACGTCACGCTTAATGGAGGGAATAGGGGCTAAATGGGTTAGTGATTTTGTGGCAAGGGAGAGGAGTGGTCAAAAACGGTCAAAAATTGCGTGACGTTATTTATGGACGATCCCGTATATATTTTTTGCAGAGCATAAAAATTACGATATTAATAAAATAACATATCAATTATAATTGAAATTTTATAAATGATTTTTATCAATTATATATTATTATATCATTTAATATTTAATAATAATAACTATATTAATTAATTATATATTAATTATAGTTAATTAGAAATTTTATAAATAATTTATATCAATTATATTAAATATAGATGAATAATAATAAAAGCATATTCAATATATTATGTTACTAGCAAATTCTTAATACTTCATTTTTCATCAAAACGTCAAGTAATGCGCTATTTCTTGAAGGTATCAAATGTGTTGACGGTTTAGAAAATCGTCAACGGTCAATCCTTTTCAAAATCCAACAATTAAACATCAATCCTCAAAATCTGCTGATTGCATTTGACATATTTACATCTTTGACCTGGATATTGGTGACCTCCTTCGTCCTGTAGGATTTGTACCCTATTTATGGATTTCTAAATTTTTAAATGATTCATTGTTTTTGTTTTGATTACATTGGTACGTTATTGAAGAAAAACAACATTTTTGGCCAATATTAAATACTTAACAACTTTTGTCGCTTTTTAAAGCTGATTTTTCTCCAAAATAAATACTCTTGGAACAGCATCGAAACTTGGGGTTGTAGATTCGAATTTCTTTGATAGAATAATAAGAGTTAAATCAAGATCAAAGATTTTTTTTGTCTAGTTTTTTATTTTATTTAAGTGCCCCAAGAAGTCCTTATGGTCCCAATGGAATTTAATTTCTTTCTTCGGTCATTTTAATTATTTAATTATTTATTAACTTTTTTATTTATTTATTTCTTCGGTCTTATCACAGAACACCACGGATGAGAATTTAATTGGAAGTTCACGCCTCCTTCCTAACCGATGTCGCAAAACTTGCACAGAGGTGGGGTCCCTATATTTGTATATATTTATATATATAAATATATATATATATATATATATATATATATATACATAAATATATATATATATATATAAATATATATATATATATAAATATATATATATATATATATAAATATATATATATATATATATATATATATATATATATATATATATATATATATATATATATATATATATATATATATTTATATTTATATATATATATATATATATATATATATATATATAAATATATATATAAATATATATATAAATATATATATATATAAATATATATATATATATATATATATATATTTATATATATATATATTTACATATATATATTTATATATATATATATATATATATATATATATATATATATATATATATATATATATATATATTGGCTTGGATTTTTTTCTGACACCGAAAGACTGCAGTCTTTCGGTGACAAAAAATCTTTAGATTGCATCAGTACTGATGCATTATTCAGAAATACTTTTTATAAATATAAACTAATTATTTACAATTATTAAATACATAAGTTAAATTTATTTGGAAACTCAAGTTTTTATGTTTTTAAAATTGTTTATCTGAATATGCTATTATTACTTCGTATCGTATTATTACTTGTTATGTAATCCTAGTATTACATAACAAGTGTCAGAAAGAAATTATAGCTTAGATAAAATTGATGTCAATTCAAATCTGTTATCAAGTTATTATAAAGTTGCAAGTTTTTGAAAATATTATTTTAAAGAATAATTTAAAAAAATTAAAATTAAATGTATTTTTTTCATATATAGTCTAAAATAAAATCACAATAATATTGAACTGTTATCTGTATTCGTAAATAATTAAAACCAATCTAAAACAAAGTTATGATTAAATTTACAATTAATTAAAATGAAAATTGTTATTACTTACTTTGTCACTGTGTTTCATTGATGAATTTGCTGAATTATTATTACCCCTTCATTTACTTATTACATTCAATTTTAAAATTGTAAATAAAAAGTGTAATTAAGGGGCTATCTGGAAGCCAACCATCTCCAAGTGGCACTTTTGTAAGAGTGATTGTTTGGACGCTGTGACAGTTGAATCCTTCAAGCCGAAAAAAAAAGATTTAAAAAAAGGTTATTCTTGAGTTCACCTATAAACATAAGAGAACAACAAGAAAAACGAAGTAAGCGTTATCTGTAAGTATTGATTGAAATGAGTTTCATCGAAGTAAGCGAAAGGCGACAACACAGAAACGGCTAGCCGTTTGCTGCAGAAGTGAATTTCTAAATTTGAAAAATTATTTATAGAGATGCTTCAAATGAACTTTGTACTTTCTCATGACTAGATCTATTCATAAGGTTATTTGAAAGTAAATTGAACATTGTACTTTAATGGGATAGGCTATTAATAGCGTCATTTACCAAATATGGCTTACAGCTTAAATCACACGATTTAAATGAGCGAATCACTCTTACTTTCCATTGAAAAAATCAAATCAAGCGTTATAAAATAAACCAATCAAAACCTAATATTTTTAATTTAATAATAATATTTTATAACTTATTTAATATAACATAATATTATAAAACTTGTCACGAGCCTCTTGCAATAAAAACATAGTAATAATTGTAACTACTTTTGATGTTATCCTGATATTAAAAAATAAAAAGAAGCTTTTTTGGTCGCTGAGTAAATTTAAAATGCAACAAACTTTTGACAATCGTTTGATATTAGTCCGTTCAATTTCAAATTAATTTCAAAATGAATCAAATTAAAATTTAAAGCAACAATTTTCTTAAAGTTTAAAACAATATTTTTCATTTTTCTTGAAGTTTGAAACAATAATCTTCTTAAATAAAACACAACAGAGCTGGCGAAATTATTTAAAACAATTTTGAATTATTTTCTGTTGAAAAAATGTCTTTATTAATTTATAAAGTGTTGATTTAAAAAATCTACTTTATTCTACTCAAGTAACAGAAATATCGGCGCAATAATGTAATGCGGTATGTAAACAAAATATAAACAAAATTAATAGTTTAGTTAGTAAAGGTTTAAGATATATCAAAACCTATTAAATAAGAAAATAAATAATCGATAAAAACTCTTTTAAAACCTTCTAAATGTGACTTCCGGTTTTTCCAGAATGATTATTCATTAAAAATTATTATTATTGTTCTTAATACCAAATTAATTATTATTATTATTAATTAAATATTATTATTATTAATACGTAGACTTTTATTTAGTTTTGTTTTACTCTTTTTTTAATTTCATTTCAACGAAATTTTTAAATACATTTGGAGAATTGAGTTCTCCGTATTTGAACGTAAGTATTTGAGCGCAATAAAATATAAAGAGAAATCACAAGGCTTTTATTTCTTTTAATGTTTATTTTAAAAAAGTTTAAAAAAAGATTCCTAAAATTTATTTTACAAGCTGAGTGTTATTTATGCTGCTAAAAAGATTTAAGTTTGTATTTGTGTATACATTCAATATTTGTATAGTTTATATGGCAATTAATAAATTGTTACCATGGTTTTGTTGATTTGTTTATGTTTGAAATATTTCAACATTTCTAAAGTATTAAATTTTTTAAAAATTATAAAAACTATTTTATAATTAGAAATGAAATTTTTTTTTTAAGAGATTGTTAAAAAATAATCATTTCGCAATAGATTTCGCCTTTAAGCAGTGCCGTGGTTAGTGGGTCAAAAGCAAAAATAAAAACTATTCTTTAGGACCCCAAAAATCATAAAAATTTTTCCTCTAGGTGTGAAAAATAAAAAAAAAGCTTCATAGATTTGCAAAAGGGCCCCCAAATTTGCAAATGGGCACTTAATTTTTTTTTTACGCAAGCTTTCGAAGACAACAACTTTTGTACGCAGAAAAATTTTTACTGAATTAAATAACAGTTTTGAATTAGAAAAAATAATAAAAATAATGTCTAATAAATTCAAAGATAATTAAGAAAAAACTGAAAAAACCTACAAATCGACTGACTAAAAAGATCCTATTAATACTGAGTACGGCTGAAACACTTCAAAAAATAAAAAATTTATGATGAAAGAAATTCTGGATGGATTAAAAAAAAGGAAAGTGAAACTATATCTAAAAACCAAGAAAAAATAGTAATTGCTATTGTAAGTGGGAACACAAAAATATTAAATAAAAGATTCGATAAATTTGAGATAATTTTCATTGAAAATACAAAAATTGAAAGAAAGCTTGAAGAGATAAAAAAGTTTAAACTTCCACGAATACTTAATTAAGTATTCGTGGATTTTCAGTCTTTTTATCGAATAATCGATAAAAAGACTGAAAATAACCAAGGGGTTATAATAGAATGGAGGAAGAAGTTTTTTGTTGTGTAGTTATTCCAGCGGCAATTCAAAATGGCGTCTTTGCTATGAAAAAAGGAAATTTTGAAATGTAGTTTGTAACCTTTGAAGTTGTAATCAAAATGGATTACTCTCTTAAAAGTTGACTGGATAAGTTTTTAACAACTGTTCTAACTATCAAGTAGTAATCACAACAAAAATCTACATGAAGTAATTGTTTTTTAAATACCTCAATACTAGTTATAAATATCAAGTTTTAAACAGTTTCTACTAATGGTTGAGCCTTATCTTTAGCTTGCCCGTTTAGCTATATGTTTGTTACGTTCTCAAAGAACGTTTTTTCGGCAGTGAACTTGTTATATCTTTCTAAGATTTTATTTTATCTTGTAGTGTTTTTGCTGGATTTAAAAACAAATTGCTATATTCTAAATATAGAGATATAATTTACTTTTTTGTAAATCCGGCGAAAATACAACTAATTCTTATCTTTTTATTTTTTTTTATTTGAATTTTCATGCTATATTTTTCGATACAATTTTCTAATATTGGAAGATATTGTTGGCTTAGCATAGGAACAGCCACAAATAGTCACTAAGACTAATCCAAAGTAGCGTCCGTTATTGACCAACATTTTTGCGTTCGAAATGCTACTCAAGCGCTGAGTTGGCGGTGGAAAGATTTGAACTTGTATATTACAACACCCCGGGTTTTAACTTTTTGTTCGACGCTCTGATCAACTGAGCTATCCAGTCACGATCTAGACATATCTAGACATTTATTAATTCAATTCTAATCTAGAAATTTATTATTAGTTGTTCAAATAGCACAACATAAAAAAATAACAATAAACTTTAAATATTGTGAAAATTAAACCTCTTCAAAATAACATTTCAAGATGGTAGATGTTCAGATAATAGGCTGAAGGGAGAAAGAAGATTCAACAAACATTTAGAGAAAGTATTAATTATTAATTTTTAAACTAAAAAATCCGTAAACTTGAAGATAGATCGAGTAGAAATAACTTAAGAATTGATAGAATATGTGAAGACGAAGTAGAACCTTGGGAAGAAACCAAAGAAAAGTTTCATTCATTTTTTCTACAAAAGCTGGGTTTAAAGGGTATTAAAATTGAACGTGCACATCGTACTAGGCCAAAAAAAGTCCGTGGGTAATACTTTAACAATATAAAAACAAACTTTGTATTTGACTTCTAGACAAATTTTGTCTTGAAATTTTAGCTTTGTCACAAAGCTAAAATTTCAAAAGAATCGGATCGTCAAAATGGTGAGAATGTTCCGGTTTGTTGCGATAAAATAATTTTTTTTTTTTTTTTATATATTTTTCAAATGTTCAAAACAAATAATCGACTTACGCATTCTTTAAAAAACAACCTTACTTAACTTAATTTAATAACCATGGCTTTATTGAATGATTATGAATCGATTGCTTTCAATTTTTTTGAAGGAAACCACTTTTCCTCTAATGAAAACATAGAACCAGATAATTTTTTTTTAGCGATACTTTTACGGATTGTGGTTATTTTTATTCTAATGAAATAGAAAGTTTTCTTATTCGGAATGCAATCAAAAAAGTTCATATCGAATTAGAATTCTCCACCTCAATTTAAGAAGCTTAGGAGCCATCCATAAATGATGTCTGTAAATATAAGGGGGAGTGGTACTGAAAAGTTTGACAAGAATTGACAATGGGGAGTTTCCAAGAGACATGAAAACAGCAACAACAACAACAAGCTATTTATTTTCCATTTTAAAATCATTTTTACAATAGTAAGGTAAATAATAATAACAATAATTATAAAATAATAAGCAATAGTAATAATTTATAACAATAATAAAAATAATAACAAAAAAATTATAAATAATAATAATTACTATAATAATAAGTAAAATGATATGTTATTTCTTATTATATTAAGTTAATGATTAGTATGGATGGTGTCACTCATACAGAAGTCTGATCAAAGGAGTGACACCATTTTTTTAAAAAATATGACTAATAATAAACATATAGACATGAAACATAAAACATAGACACACATAAAGTAAACTTTTCAAAAATCATATATGTAGGTAATAATAAAAGAGAAAAGAAAAACAAACAAAAAATAAAAATATTTATTATAGTAATAGAAAAAAAAATTATAACAAAATATTTTTCAGAATTTTTTTAAATTGGTTTTGGTTAAGATTAAGAAAAGATGAAAAAGGAGTTTGGAGTTGGAGTTTATTGAACTCATTCACAATACACAAAAGACTCTTGTTCCATTCACAGATGCACTGATACACAACAGAATTCTTACCATACTTTTGAGTTTTATATGATGGTACAATAAGTTTTCCATTATTTATATTTCGTGTAGAGTGTGTATGAATTGGTCTACTTTCTATAAAAAAGTTTGCGATAGAAGAAGGTAAATTTTTATTTAGAGAGTTATAAACAAAAAGAAGATCAGAAAACTTCACTAGGAAATGAAAGGTTGTAATTTTAAGTTTTTTAAAAGAATCTGATGTATCTGATTTGAAAGGTTGAAAGTTTATTTTTCTAATGGATTGGCGTTGAGATGACATTAGTTTGTTAATATGATTTGACCCCAAACTTGACAACAATAACTAAGATGAGATGAAAATAAATGCATAGTAAATATTTAAAAGAGTAACTTTATCGACAATGTCGAATTAATGAAAGCATACCATTTGTACGATTAAGTTTCTTGCGTAGCTCATCGATATGGAAGTTCCACGAAAGATTGCAATCAATTAACACACCAAGATATTTAATAACTCTTGAGGGATATAGTTGTATATTATTTATTTTGATTTCAATTTTACCGTTGTTACATTTTTTTCTGTTGTTGTTACAGTTTTTTCTAGGAGGTGAAAAAAAAATTAGTTCAGTCTTTTC